CTCCTCCGAGACGGACACGGCCTCGAAACACTGACACACCAGCTGCAGCTCCGACAGCACGTCCTGACACACAGAAGACAATTATCCATATAACACATTTCATTACCACACAAAACAAGCGACAAACAACATCCAGTGTCACATGAGAAACCACACGCTTGTAACATGATGGTCAAGCATTTGCATCCGAGTCTGTTTCTGGCCTCAGTGCTTGACCTGTTTAAGGGCCGGATGGATCCAAATCCACAGCTGTCTGTCTGAGGCGTCAGGGACCCGGGGCCTCCACAGGAAGTCAGCAGGACCCAGAGAGCCTTCAGGAAACTGATCTGCTTTGTACAGATGAACGCTGCCCTGACGAGCACCTGAGAGACACGACGCCGCTGCGAATGTGGGACCTACACACAAACACAAGCTCAGAGATGATATCAACAATCTCTGATGAACCACACACACACACACACACACACTCTCGCACACACCTGTTTGTTTGCTGGTGAGTCGAGCGAGTGCTCGCAGCATTTCTTCTTCAGATCCCTGAAGCTCCAAACAGCAGAAATAGGACAAATCCTGAGAGAGAGAGACATGCTACTGCTATCATGTGTATGTGCTTTATAATTATATTTAGTGTAAAACATACATTTAAATTAATTCAATAACAAACGCGGAACACAGCAATTTGTCAGAGCCAACAAGACTCTCCAGATGTGAGCGAAACCTGAACAAAAAACCTGCCCTTGGTGACGCCCTGAAAGGAAATAATGTTTCTTATTTGTATGCTTTCCTTAAAGAATGAAATAAAACATTGTTTCAGCTCTCTGCTGTTCTTCTCCGCTGGAGAAGATGATGGTTTGAGCTAGAACCACTGATCTATTGGGTTGCTCATGATGTCGAACCCTAACCGAAATCTGAACACAGATTTGTGTTTTGTAACATAGTTTTGATTTGTATACTAACAACATCAATGCAGGGTCTGCGCCGGAGCACGTGTGGGACGAGGCATTGATATTGTCTGGAAATCACGAGGTGCAAGTATGTAACACTCTTCTCTGAGAAAATGACAAACATGAAGCACATGTATGCGAGCGTCACCTGCAGCAGGGCGTGTGTGTTCATGGCTCTGTAGCTGGCTCTGAAGCTCTTCGCCGTGGGTTTGAGCGGCAGACAGTAGCTCCACGTCTTCAGCATGTGGAAGCGCTTGGCGTGCCAGATATGCGTCTCCAGCCATTTGTTCTTCCTCTGTCTGCGATTGAACTCCAGCAACAGGTTCCCGTGTCTGCGGCGCGCTCGACGACTCCTGCTTCTGGGCTCCTGCTTCTTCTCTTTTTCTGGTGCACGCTGACTTCGCTCGGCCTGGACACACAAACACACGCTGTGAACGAGGTCGAAGAAAGAGACGCATGTTAATGAGTATTTGACTAGGGTTGTCAAAAGTACCAGACCGTGTGTATCTGTGCAAGCGCTCGCCGAAGAGCAAGAAGGATGTGCATTTACAACATGTTTCTGAAGAGATGATCATTGTAGCCAATCACAGACATATCTGATGAGTGTGTGAGCACAATGTCCAATCAGAGGTGTTTAAGAATCCGCTCAAAATGCTAGCGGGAAATGCTGGTATCGTCACATTCGTGAAAGTTCAGAACCGATTTGGTACTTTTGACAACCCTGCATGCGAGCAGTCAGACTGTGCGGGACTGCTGCGAGACGGGTGTTTTGTGGGTTTCTCAGTACCAGTCTCTGAGCTCCCTCACGCAGACGGCTCGGCAGTCTCTTGGTGCTGTGGCTCAGGGCTCGTCTGCGCATGTGCTTCGGCAGAGCAGTGAAGATGTGGCAGCTGCCTGCAGGTTTACTGACGGCCTTCAGCATAGCGTTCACTTCAGCGGCGCGCGCTTTAGCGAAGGACGAGGCTGCAGGGAGGAAGGAACAGCTAAGACTTTGCTTCATTAACAGTTCGTTCACAAAAATGAATTACAGTATACACTATATTCATTTATGGAACACATTTCATCAGTTCTTGTATTTGCCGCTGCATGACTTTCTTACATGGAACTTAACAGAATCACGCAGATCTAAAGTGAACAGGAACAGACGGAGTTGTTTGGCCGCTTTCAGATCACATTAACGTCTGAGTGCAGTCAAATATGTGTGTCATAATTAGCTTGACATCAATTATGCAAACAACATTCTGCTTCAGGCGTGTCTCAAAACTGATCCTGCTTGAAACATCCCGCACAAGTCAGAAGTACTTTTATGCTTTTTTTTTGTCATTTTGTGGAGCTTGACAACCTCTGGTCACTGCTAAACACCTAATGGCAGAACTTTTACATTTTTATTGAACTATTCTTTAGTTATGAATGTTACCTGTGATGTATTTGGGCAGATCTTGACTGTAACTGTGACCCCCAGGCTGATGACCTCTGACCCAGCCGCATGCCTGTGACCCCTGACCTCTCCCGGTACTGCGACCTGTAGACGATGAGCATTCAATCAATAACACAAACGA